GCCCTTGGTGCGCCAGCCGTGCGGAGGACTGGCAGCTCCGAGGGCAACCTCGGGAAGAGGAAGGGGTGCCGCGCGTGCGGCTGCCCCTCCTCTTCCTTGCCTCCAAGATGGCTCAATAAGACGTCTGCTGAGGCCCTTATATGTTACAAGAAAGGAAACCATAGTAAAGAGTTCATAGAATGATAATGATGAAGAAAGATCATCTTAAACTAATCCCAATACCTTATAAGCAATCAAAAGTAAGATGAAGACATAATGATGCACTGGGATCTACCTATTATTTTTCATCTCACCTTCATAGATGAAACAAAAATGGAAAATTAAGCTTCAAATGTCTACCTTGTTGAGATCTTATAAACATTTTGTTAATCAAATGCAGTCATGTCTCAAGAGAAGAGAGAAGTATAGGTTTAGCAGTATGTTCATATGTTTAAAATGGAATATTTATTTTCAAATCCTGTTCAACCTGCAATCTTGCTGACAAGCTACTTGAGCGGAAGTCCCTGTAGGATATTCTGGAGTTTATCACATGGGGTAAAAAAGGCATCTTACCTTTTCTGGCTTGAATCTTCTTCCAGGATGCAGCCAGATACTATCATGTGTAATTCACCACTGAATCTGCCAGCAGAATACTGCCTGGGTACACTGCATCTCCAAGCTGTGCTCAACACTCCAATTTTTGAAGTCAGAAGCTTCCATTTTTGAAAAAGGGCTGGCTGAATGTGGCTTGGAGCCATGGTTTACCTAAGCTGTATTCTGCTGGCAGATTCAGTGGTGATTTACACATGATAGTATCTGGCTGCATCCTGGAAGAGGATTCAAGCCAGAAAAGGTAAGATGCCTTTTTTACCCCATACGATAAGCTCAGTCTGCTAAACATGGATAGAAATGTTTCTTTTTATGAGAAAATGTAAAAGTGCACATTTGTATTTATTTTTAATTCATAAAGCAAATATATACCAATTACTATTTGCAAATAAAAAATAATTAAAAAATTGACCTGACTTTGCATAGTCATAAGCACTCAAGCATGTGGCCTTTGCATAACACTTTTTGCTTTTTCTTTATTTTTACACTAAAGAATTTAGCTTTACATAAAGGCATGAACAAGACTGCCAGAAATAATCCAGTTTGAGTCCACTTTAATTGCTCTGGCTCAGTACTAAGAAATCATGGGAACTAGTTTATTGTGGCACCAGAGGTCTCTGATATAGAAAAACTACAATTCCCATAATTTCTTAGCATTGAGTTAGGACAGTTAAAGTGGTCTCAAACTGGATTATTTCTGGTAGTCTGTTCAGGCCCTAAGTCCTTCTTTTTTAATTTTTGCACTAAGAGCCTAAGGTAGAAATCCATAAGTTATCACCACCCACAGTTTTGAGGTTGGATATAGGTCAGGTTTTTTGAAATTTTAATCCCAAATAGAATGAGAAGCAGGACAAGGTACAATAATACTCATATAAAATAGATGAAAGTGCCTTTATCCCTTCACCTTTCAAACTCAGACTTTCAGCTACAGTCTATGGGCATCTGCAGATAGGCTGCCGTGGGCCACCCCGAGAAGCCACAGATTGGGACCAAGACTGTACCACACCTTGGCCCCAATCCACTCCTTTTCTGGCCCTGGAAGGAGTGCTAAAATAGTGCTCCTTCTGCAAGGTGCTGAAAGGGCATCAGAAGAGGTGGCGTGTGCCTCTTTGGTGTATTTTCTGGCTCATTGTGTCTGGACACTGAGCCAGAAGGACGTCATCAGAGCGTCCTCCATGTGCAATGGAGGGTGCTCCAATGACGTCCTCGGGAAGGGGTTGGGGTGCCTGGTGTGAGGCTGCCCTTCCCCTTCCTTGCCTCCAAGATGGCGCTTTGAGCCATCTGCAAAGGCCCTTTTTTTCCAACATGGCTCATGCCTCCCCAGTGGAAAGTAGGAGAGGTGATGTGGCAGCACTGGTGACACTTCTCTGCCTCCTCCTCCTCCCACTCTTCTCAAGAGCCATGTTGGAAAAGAACAACTGCAGCTGAAAGTTTGCATTTGAAAAGCAAAGTACCAATGGGCCTTTTCGGACTGCCAGAAATAATGCAGCTTGAGTCCACTTTAACTATCCTGGCTCAGTGCTAGGGAATCATGGGGACTGTAGTTTTTTTTTTCTGAGACATTAAGGCTTCTATGTCAGAGAGCTCTGGTGCCACAATAACCTACAGTTCCCATGATTCCCTAGCACTGAGCCAAGGCAGTTAAAGTGGACTCAAACTGCATTATTTCTGGCAGTCTGTAAAGGCCCTATGTCTGTCTTAATGGAGCATTACATTACCTTATCCTACCTCTCACTCTATTTGGGATTAAAATTATGAGAGCCCAATCCCGTAACTGATTTGGTAACCCTACCATCACCACCTTTTTATTTATTTATTTCTCACTGATCTTTCTATTCCTAGACTTCATGACTTGTTGTGCCTGTACCAGCTTCACATGGGATAGAAATGTCTTTGGTAAAATCTATCTCCTTGGTTGTGTTTTACTTATTTCCTCCCTCACTGTTGTCCTTTCTCATTAACCTCTCTATCTTATTGTTTGTTCAGTTTTTATCCTGCCTATTTCCCCACTCGTACTGGGTGTCCTGATTTTCCTCATCCCCTTAAGACTGCCATATTCTATTTGCCCAAATATAGGCAGTCTTATTTGCATATTCCACAAATTATTAGCTCAATAAGCAAATGATACAAATACAAATGTTCTAATTTAAGAGGAGATCTTTCCATTTGTAAAGTTGATTTACAAATAAAAACGAATAAATAAATTTATTTCAGAACAGTCCCTTCTCAAAGAACTAGTTGTGGGATTCATAAATCCTTCTGTCCAGCAGTCACTTTGTGAAGAAAGATGCAATGTTACAGCACATCTCACCCCCTCCAACTCTGCTCAAAGTATTTTTTTCACCTCCTCTTTTCTCTGTTGGAGTTTGTGAACTTGTTCACTGTAGTAGTTGATGTCATCACTTTTTATCTTCTATTCACAGAGACATGTAAGTACGATTTACACTCTGAGCATGGCCTAGTGAATATCGTAGGTCATCTAGCCATTCTATGGATAGGTCTTCTTCATATAGATATATACAGACAAAAGTAGCAGTTTCTACATGGCATGTTCTTATGTTGATGAACAGTGTGTGTGAAAACATCAGGCATGTTCATGAGGCCAATTATGTAGGCCTTTCTCGGCTGAGCAAAAGAAAAAAAATCCTTTCTGGGAACCAATTGGAAAAGACTCAACTTGTATACATGGCTTATATATTCAATAATGTATAATAAATAGATCATATATATTGTAGCCCAGAATCATAACATGTGACACCAGTTACAACACAAGTTTGTATTTATAGCAAGGGAGTAACTTTTTATTTGAAACAGTATAGAAAATAATAGAAGGCACTCAAGAAATGTTATTTAACCCTTTGGTAGATCAGAACGTGGGAAAAAAATTGAGAACCACAATTCACAAATTACCCATCAGCAGTGGCCATTCTAGTTGGAGATTCTGGAGGTTGTAGTTTAAACCTCTTTATAAGAAAGCACCCAGAATAAGAGATTATTTCCTTTAAAAGTATTGTGTGTTTGAATGCTCACCAATTTAAAAGAAAAAAATATCTCAACATATGAGACGTGCTGTTAAGATATTATAATACAGTTTAAACAAATAATCATAACATTAACACATGTTTCATTAGCATACAACATTATATGGGTAACATTGTAGGTCTGGGCCTGCATTGGCAGCAGCTGACTCAGAATCAGATGATATTCTAGTTTTATTGAAATAGAATTACATAAAACCTATCTAAGTAGTTTTGATGGAAAACAAACCAAAGATTTTTAAAAAGTCAAATTCAAGCCAAATATACATTCAAACTAAATGTAAGCACTGGTGGGATCTTGGTTTTTGAAATCTTGTTTTGTTTTTTTCAGGTGAAGAATTGTTGCAAAGTGCCATAATGCCTGATTGTTAGATTGCTGTTGCTGTTGTTGTGTGCCTTCAAGTCATTTGTGACCTATGTTGACTCTAAGGCAAATCTATCACGGGGTTTTCTTGATAAGATTATTCAGAGGAGGTTTCCATTTCCTTTTCCTGAAGTTGAGAGCATATGACCGCTTCAAACCGTTAGCCATGGTACACAGAGGCGCTTAGGAGGATGAAGCGGGTCGGACAACGACTAGAGTGCGAATGGTGAAGGACTCATCTTTTATCTGACAGAACTCGCCTTAGGAAGCATCTTGACTCCTATAGGGAGGTTTTACATGCAGCGCAGAGATCCTTCTGTTCTGCACGTATTGCGTCTGCAGAGTCTCGCCCGGCAGAGCTGTTTAGAGTGGTAGGGGAGTTGACAAAGGTTCCCCCCATGCCAAACCCCCTACTTAACCCAACGACAGCCTGCTGTGAGGCATTTA